ATAATAATAATAATAATAATAATAATAATAATAATAATAATAATAATAATAATAATAATAATAATAATAATAATAATAATAATAATAATAATAATAATAATAATAATAATAATAATAATAATAATAATTTAATAATTTATTTAATTTTGAATTAATCACTTGGGTAGTTTCTAATATTAGTTATATAATATAAATATATGGTACTGATAAATATCTTTGTTACTTTAATAAATTATTTTTTAATATTCTATTCTTTATATTTAACCTTTCTTATTACAAAGTTTATAATTATAAATTAGTAGTAGTATTTAGTACGATATTATTATCTTATAAGCTAAAATATTTAACTAAGTTTATAGTAGTTTTGAATAAGAATAGTTTATAATATTAGTATTATAAATGCTTCTATTACTATTATTAAAACAATATTAATTATAAATATATATTTTTAATTCTTATATATTATTATAAAGGTAACTTTATTTACCTTATTATTCGCCTTATTATCAATATTACGTAAGCAAATTATATACCATATTAATCTACGATTTCTATAGATTATTATAAGTATTGATTATGTAAGCAGTATTGCTTACATAAGCTTGCGTGAGCAATGGAAAGTACTGGAAGGTAACTAAATAAGCTAGAATTCTCTCGAGACGGAATTACGTACTACGATTATGCATTTACTTATGTATGCGCTTATTAATTATATTATAATTAATAAGTAATATAATATTCTAGTAGGAGGTTTTTATGCCTATATATAGGCGTGTATTTACCTACCTAGACCTTTTATTAAGTAAGCAACTCCTTATATAGTAATTTAACTATATTACTCTCTTTATTATAAAAACCTCTTTTATATACGCTTATTTCCCCTATATCCATATATTCTTGCTTCTATATAAATATTTACTTTTTATATTCTTTTATAAGAATATCCCGTATTACCTCGTTAAAGCTATACGTGTTAGATATATATATATAGTTATATATACTATATTTATTATAAATCCGTAATTATAAACTTTATAAGAGGGAAAGTTTAAAAAAGTAAAAAAAAATTATAAAGAAATAGTTTAATAATATGGTAAGAGTATTAACTAATATTATATATTAATAAAATAGGGTAGGGCGATTAGTTCTAGTAGTTTTTCTTCTAGTAGTACTAATTAAATAAAAAATAATAATAAGAGGGCTAATTAGAATAAAATATAAGAAGAAGGGCCCTAATTAGAAATAAACGATTTAGTGATACGGATATTTATTTTAATTAAATATTTACTTTTTTAAAAACGAACTAGAGCTTTTTTAATAATTTATTTTTAAATATAATAATATAAAATAATTAAAGAAGTTTATTCTTTTTAATTTAGTTAATGCTATACCTAATCCGTAAATAGTAACTCTTCTGATTAAGGCCGTATTAAGCCGATCGAAGGAGGCATCTTGTGTTGCTTTTATAGGTTTTAGTAGTTCCTTTAAAGCACTACACCGCATGAGTCCCTTATACCCTACACGCTTTCAATATATTTAGTAGGAAATATGGTATTATACTCCATACTTCTGAAGCTGTCGTGAATAGTAGTTCATGTCCCCTCCGTTCTTACAGTCTTTTCTATCGCACCAAAGTATGTGTTTAGCCTCACTATCGCTGACTACTCCATAGGAAGTTAGTTCCGAAGCGAGTATACCTTTCAGACCGTAGGGCTCATCCTTCCAACCGTAAACCTCGTTGACTTTGGGAGTGAACTCCCCGCCGCTTCTCGTCAAGTGGATGGAACCTCCCTCTAAGCTCCAATCAAAGCGCGCATGACAAATAGGACATTGTGTTGAGTGAGCCCGACCGTTATGCGACGATGATGACCTTGCGTACCACGGACCCCTTGCGGCAATCCTAGAATCTCGCGACTGGGATCGGCTAAATGCCCACGAGAAGGCACTCCTTACGCCTAATGGTGGGCTTGGGCGACCTTCCAAGATGTTGAGTTCAGAATCAGGATCGAGGGGCTCCATCAGCTGCTTAAAAGTTCTGTGTGGACAAAGCAAGCGTCCAAACCTTCCTTGAAGCTCTTTGAACTTGGTTTCTAGAATGATGTCGTCAAATGGCTGGTCGTCTGATACTGGCATCACGGGAAACTTCCAAGATACGGTATAGAACCTAATCAAGGACTTTGCTCCGCGATTCGTATTGAATGTCCTGATCTCTCCACGAATCGAAGGCGGCTTCATTTTCTGGATCAAAAGCCCCTCGCCAATCTCTTTGCAAACTGAGCACTCTTCCAGACACCATGAGCATTCTTCCAGACACCATCCACGTGGTGAGGGTAAATTCTTTCTCCCTCCGGAGCGAAGCCAATCGAGTGTGGCTAAATGTAAATCTCGTTCCAAGTTGACAAGGGGTACTGAGGTATGGGCACATAGCTGAATGGAACCCTCGGAAAGCCGGCAAAAACGCTGATGGCCAAGGCTTTGCCGCCACAGACTTGAGAATTGAAGTCTCGGGTGGTCTCTAGCGCAGTACGAGCAGAACAGGCTGTCCTCCAGCTTCGACAGACGCTTTCTGAAATCTGCCGACTCCCTTGATGTACGGCAAGCCTGACAGAATGCCTGCTCCTTCGCAGCCCTCACCACGGACTCGTCCATCGTCAAGCCACTCGGGGAGCTTGATATATCCGAGGAATGTAGTTTGTTGAACGTACGGTCTTGATATAAGCGCCAAAAAGTCCATGATACTTGTCGCAGCATGTAGAGGTCGCTGAGCTCGGACTCGTGCATGATTTGTAGCAAAATCTCGTCCGGCAAAGCAATGAATCGGCTTTGCCGTAAGTTGGCAATGAGTTTGACTTCCCAGCTGTAAATTCTGCTGGGCAGATCTGGCATCAAAACTTCCACTCCACTCGTGCTGTAGATGGTGTTTTGGCCGGCAATTTTACAGGTATAAGCCCCGTCGCCGGTGTCAGAATCACTGTTGATCGTTTCCCAGTCGCCGGTGTCAGAATCACTGGTGATCGTTTCCCAGTCGCCGGTGTCAGAATCAATGGTGATCGTTTCCCAGTCCGTGTCCACGAGGCCTTCATCCCTTGTGTCTTCGTCTATGTTTTCAGATCCTGAGTCGGGTACGCATAGCATGCGCATTTCCTCTGCTGCGCTTGGTTCTCTACTGACGATCTTCTTGCCCAAATCATATAGATCCTGATTTTCTTTGATGTCCTCGTTCTTGTCAAGGCCCCGTTCCCTCCAAGCCCTGATAATAGTGCTGATTCCAAGGCACATCGTAGCGTAGCGTCAAGCGGAGTGATGATGATGGAGACAATGCTACTGTGAGAGAACTGCAGAAATGGTCCTGATAATTGTGTTAAGTCTGGTCAGATCTTTGGTTCAGTTCATAGTGATTGATCGAGACATAGCGGAGATACCAGTGGCTCATGGATAGCATCAAAAGTTTTCGCAGGAACCTAGATGGGCTCTCCACATCAAGGTGCATCTTGTGGCTTGGGTGGCGAATTTGAGTTGCGAATCTTCTCCATGGCTAGCATCTCAACTTGAGCTGTGCTCACAATATATTATCACGAGCAAGCGATGAAGCACTATTATCTCCATAAACAGATTTCTGGTCCTCCGGACTTCCTGACAGGAAAGTTTGCTTTTCCCGCTGAGTATGGAGCAATTGCATGTGCAACAATTCGGGGGGGGGGGGGGGGGACGGAAACCAATGGTATTAAGCAGCGAGTCTGAGTAATGGACAAAATCCGCTTGTTTCAATCGGGTTCCAGGGCAGAAGCGATCGGTTCTTGGTATTCACCGGGACGCTGCCGAAAGCTCGGCGCCCGCGCCCTCCGAGTAGCCCCTTGAACCACCCGGTGACATCTCCGATTGACTGACCCGTCCGATCGGGTCCACTAGAATAAAGAACGGATGAGCCCCCTCTAGCCTTGAGCTCCTGGCCAAGAGTGGCGCAATTGCTCTGAAAAGAGCCCTGCGCCACGGGGCAAGATCAATTTCTGTTCAATGCATACCGACCGGAGCGCTTTATATAGCAATAAGGCTGAGAAGATACGAGAAGTGGTCCAGTAGCCAGGCCATGTTTTCTTCAGAGCCTCAACAGATATAACGTCGAACGAGGTGTTTGTTTCCAGCGGTCTAGTATCATTAGAGTTTGACTCGCCAACGGGCAGAGAAGCCACTCTTTCATTATTTCTCTCTTTCCACCCCCAACAACTCAGTCCGCAAAACCATGTCTCCCATTCAGGAACCCAGCGTTCCCGCTCTCACAGAAATGGATCAAAGGGGGGACGTTGTCTTCGTCGTCGGAACGGCAGTCGACAACACCCCTGCCCGGAGCTTCCGCGTCTGTTCCCGGACGATGGCACGCATCTCCCCCGTCTTTGACCGCATGCTACACGGCAGCTTTGCCGAGTCTAAACCGACAGCACCGAGCTCCGATCTCATCAGCCTTTCATCATCCGGAATCAACGGAACGACGACATCGCCGGCAAAAGATTGGATCGTCCACCTTCGCGACGACAGGCCCGATTCTTTTGACCTCCTCGCGAGCATCGCTCACAGCCAGTTCCAGAGAATACCGCGAGCCTTGTCGATTGCTAAGCTTTACGAGTTGACGGTACTGACGCACTACTATGATGCAACTCCCGTATTGTCGCCTTGGCTACAGACGTGGGTTTCGGGCATCGCAGAGTCACCAGAAACGACGAGTAGTAGCATTGCCGGACCCGAGGGAGAGCTTTTGATGCCCAAATTACTGTGGATTTCGTGGGAGTTGGGCCATAAACAGCTCTTTGAGTCGACAGCACGGCGAATGGTAATGGAGAGTAGTGGTAATTTGTTCGGTGACGAGAGCGGGCTTGGCGATTTGAGTATGCCGCCGGACGTCATCGGTGAGTCTCTTTCCCCGTTCACTGTAGCAATCTTCCTTGCCTTTTTTCATTTTAGATCTCAAGTTTTTGTGAGAACCTCTTCACTGACACCTATTCCATAGAACGAATCGCTGCCATCAGGACGCAGACAATTCAGTCCATCATGGACGTCTTCAGCACTCTGGCAGAGAAGCTTGTCAGCGTAGATGAAGGGCCTCGGTGGTGCAGACATGCGTCATACATGGGGCCACACCGGTGCGAGAGCATGATACTTGGCAGCATGACCTTTTGTCTCATGAGGGCAAGTCTATGGCCGATTCCAGAGGCCGACGACATCGACGAGAGCGTATTGACGCTATACTCGACACTGATGAACCTGGTGATCCACGATATTGGGCGGCCGTCGGATAAGGGCGGCGTCGATCACAGCGAGTGTAATCCCAGGGGGTTTTTGATGGAAAGGATCAAGAATATTTTGGCAGACGTGCCGAGCCCTGTAGGGGAGGCACATCGGAAACAACTGGATAGACAGATACAGAAGCTGCTTATTTGACTGCGGTTACATATAAAATGGAATAGACAAAAAGAATGCAAAACATGAAAAATGCCGTCTAGCCAGTGCGATCATCTCACCGCGGATTCTCTTCCAAGAGACAATGCTTGAATAATTAAAAATTGAGATAGCAGCAACCCAATGAATGAGAGGAGGTAATACAGCTCTTCAACAGCTGACAACATCTTGATTGAAAAAAAATTTGATGTGCATCGTTGCTCAGTCTTGTTGTATCCAAGACTTTTTCCCGACTGGGTAACGTAGCTTGGGGGGTTAGCAAGTTTGTTGACTGGCTGTTCCTTTGACTTTCTCGGGCTATTTCAGAATCTACCTCACAAACTTTCCTTTCACACCAATGACTCTCATTCACCTCCCCCCAAAGCTGTGCGAGGTTACTTTGCTGAAAAAAATGAAAAAGACATCTTCGACATCCTGGCGTCTGATGTTGACGCCAAAAGCATGAGAGAGTCATTGGAATGAATTGGTTACAGGATCTGGGGGTGTACAGTCGCAATACTGTGGTAAGGGATCACGGGTAATGGGCGGTTGCAAAGCATTCTGTGCAATCCTAGCACGATCAAACAAGTATATGCAAAGATTATTTCAACATTCACCATGAGCTCTTCCGTAAGTTTCAGAGGGTTAGACTTCATTGACAAGGCGTGGTGTGACCTTCCAGCCCCCTTTTCAGAACCGGAACAACTCCCGAAAGATCCCTGGTGGCCAGGCTTGCATTTAGGGCTGCTGCGGTGAGCGCTAATCGGGCGTCAATAATGCCCGAATTCGGCGGACGACCGTGCCACAGCCGACGGGATGAACAGGCCTCACTGAGTCAGCATAGCCACTGGAGTGGGTTGACTACCAACGTATGTTAAGTTTCGGTAGTGAAAGTATTTTTATCTCTCCAAATACCGGAGCCCCAGGCGGGAAGAGTATCGAACAGGAGTATCGTCATTCATCCATGCACTAAAGTCATTCCACGATCGCGAACTGCGTTGAGTTAGCTGAGCCTTCCGTTCAGCCGAGAGTACACCTCGAAGCAGCTCAGAATCGAGAAACATCGATGGCAGCTCAACTGCACCGGCCATGTCGAGAACGCGGAGCGGCTGTTTGAACTGCAAACGCCGCCACCGCAAATGCGACGAGGGCCGGCCCGAATGTTTACAGTGTATAGGTCAAGGTGTCGAATGCGAAGGATACCAGACTGTCCTTCGATGGGGTTCGGGTATTGCCTCGAGGGGGCGCTTTGCCGGAGCGCTCGTACCTGTCGAAATCGAAGCGCCTCCGCCCGCCAAGCGCAAGAAGAAATCTAAGCTCGATGAAAAAACAAGAGAAATTGACAGTCTTGCAGGAGAAGGCTCGTCTAGGACTCTGAAACAGCTCAATCCAAATGCTGTTGCAGTTCCGTCAACAGCACTCACAGCCGCGGCTGGGTTCGGCGCGGCGCCACCCGAGACAACCTGGCTGGGCCGTACAGAGCAAGACAGGCGTCTTTTGGAAGAATGTGAGTGAAATGATCATAGGCGCGACTTATCATACCTGTGAAAATCCCTTACGGGTCTGTTGGCATGCCAAAATTGAATACCTTACTCCATGCTTCAAATCTGAACTTCATACCCTACGCTGTGCTAGCCACTGACAGTATCCTACTTTAGTCAATGAGACTACTGTCTTTATGCTTCATTCAAGTCGACGGGATGGCTTATTCAGATCGAAGCTTCGACAGCTAGCAGAGAGATCTGAAGCACTCTGTGCTATTTTGCTGGCCACTCACCTCTACATCTCAAACCCAGATGATCCTTCACAACTTTTCGAAGAGTACTACCTTCGAGGCCTTTCGCTCTTCCGCAACCAATTGGAATCATTCAATGGGAGTGTTGATCTTGGCGCAATGTACGCTGGGCTTTTCATCTGCACCCTGAATGTGAGTTATCTTGCAAGCCGTCAATATTACACTACAGTGCCTTACCGTGATGCATGAAATCTTTTATGTCTCGTCTCCTGAGCTTTATATCCGACGATTGATGTCTTGGAAAAGCTTATGTCTATCAGACTGAAACACTAATCCTTGATGAACACAGCTATTTCAGAGTGCTCCTTGGTCCATCCACCTCGAGCTCATGACAACAGTCTACGGTCTCAACAAAGACCTCCACAACTCACCTGTTCTATCCGAACCTGAGGCGTGGTTTGCCTTAGAGCTAATGGGTCTCATGGACATGCCGACCTTTGTTCGCGGTCGCTCAACTTTGTCGTTGGGAATTTGGAAAAGATTGCGGGTTGCACAAGGATCAATAGGTATGAAAAGGGGCGGCATTCAATCTGTTTCAAGCCTCCCAAGATCCTTGCTCGATGTTTTTGCGAATATTCAGGACGAAGATTCTGACACATATTTCTTGCAATGGTTTGGAGAAACGGGGGAGATACCGCAGATCCATCTGTGGGAGGCGTACCGTCTAGCAGGTATTCTGACTGGTCGACGACTACGCATCCGTGCAAACACAGGCATTACGGCAGCTGCATCAACATCATGCCCTGCCACTCCTTCTGCCGAGGTACTATTAGGCCGCTTAGTCGCGTCCATGGACGCGCTCTGTGATGCGACCAGCCGGCCTGAATATTCACAGCTTCTCACGACTAATGCACTGCTCTATCCCTATGTGGCTGCGCGGCTTGAAGTGGCTATCTTGCTTCGCCAGCCCACCTGGATGGAATCACTCCGGCGAGTAACAGAGAAATATCAACCATACGGCAAGACGGCGAACGCGCGTAACATTACCGAGATGCTAGATGAAGCTTGGGACTCAGGAGATGATGCGTATGATATTGATGAGCAAGCAAGAAGGCGGAATGTCGAGGTTGCCCTATTCTGAGGAAACATCACGAAATTTTACTTCGGGAGTCTGTATCTTCATTCTTTTGAGGACATATTGGTTACAACCCTCTGAAGTCAAGAGCTACTACGGCGTTCAAGTGCGGCCGGATCACCTACCGCCGTAAGGACGGGCGATGTGGGCGAGTACAAAGTAAGTATAAGGGTTGAATCGCGAATAGATAATAACTCTGGGAAATGTGTTAGCGGCAAAGGCTTTGGAATGTTCCTAGTAATACCATGATAGGTCTGAAATACAGTTAAGTAAGTCTAGCTAATAAATGCTATATTTGTGTCTATACTCAAATGTTAATTCATGACTCCTAGTCTTTTTCTTCAATTATTTACTCAGTTTTAATTCCAACTCAATACCTCACCTTCAAAGAGTCCCTCCATACGCCCGGCTTTTCGTTTTCTACTTCAACGGTTTCGTAGTAGTTAGGGATACAGCATCTTTCCTTGCCGCCACCAGAGCACCACGGGGCTCTCAGGTCCATGGCCACGCGGACGCGATCATTTGGGCAATTCGCTGCGCAAAAGTCCTCGCGGCTGATAGCAGGACCGGAGCCCGTATTGGAATACCACTCACAATCGGAGAAGGTCATCTTCTTATTGCTTGTGTTGCAGCACAGCTTGTGCTCACCACTGGCAACCATGCGGCCTCCACGCAAGACTTTGAAAACACTATAGTCAGATCAAGATCGTACTTACTACTGAAGGCTTTGGCTTGATAGGAATTTGGTACTCACGCTTCTTGCAAACTTCGGCGCCACCTATGCCAATAGACGATGAAGCCAATAAAGTCTTCATTGACTGGTCGCCGCTCTGAGCAGGATAGCTTGCTTGATCGTCGCATTTCGAAAACGCGCCTAGTTCATACAGCGTATACAGCTTGATGCGTTGAGTATCTTTTGTACAGCAAGCTGCTTGGAACTGCCCATTGTTGCAATACCTCTTTTTCAAATCGGCACTCTTCTCCGAGGTACCAATTGCTAATAGAGGCTGCGCCACGTTCAAAGTACCCTTGATTTTGACTTCCAGCGCTTTCCAAAGTTCTTCGACAGGCATTGTCGAGATTGGGCCGAGACCCAGGAGCACGCCAGCGGCGTGAATGACGATGCCCATTTGTCCAAAGGTAGACACAGTCTCAGCCATGAAAGACTTCAAGGTCTTGACATCGCTGATGTCGGCTCCGTGAAGGCGAACTTGCACGTCAGGGCCCTTTTGAGAGATGATTGCTGCTGTCTTCGTCAGGGGTTCCGTGCGGCGGCCGATGAGAATCAGGGCCTTGGCTCCGGCGGGGGCAAAGGAGGTGGCCGCTGCCTGTCCGATGCCTGATCCAGCTCCGGTGATGAGGACGACTTTACCCGCAGCGGAGTTGGCGGGATTAGATGCAGATATGGCCGGGTAGCTGGCGTTGTGATTGGCCTTAGTGTAAGACATCTTGTAAGTTGTGAGAAGTTTTTTTTGTTTTTTAGATGACTTGTGGCAATGAAAAGAAGGATAGATGATAAAGATTGAAGTTGATGTGAGAAGTATCATGTAAATCCCGAGCTGACGCTGCATCTCGCTAGGTCTCATACTACACCCGATTTCCTTCATCAGTTGAGATTTCTTGCATTTGATCTTACCTTAGGTTGCTCAACTGCTGTGCTTGCGAGCCTTCCATAGAGTCGAAAGCAAAGCCTCAAAGGTCTAGCAAGGCATGTTTTTTGAGGGTATTAAGACCAGAAGATGGGTTTGTAATTGCGATTGAGTTCCATCTCTGGAAAAATGCGGAGATAAACGATTACCTCAAAGAGGCACAACCGAGGCTCACATCAAAGTGTGTTTGCCCACTGCTTGATAATATTACCATAGGCGTAATGTTTTGTAATGGTTTGCTAGATAAGTTTCGGGTTTTAGCTGCTGCCAAATTCGTCTCGTCTGTAAGACAATGTGTCGAAATCTGGGTGATAATAGCCGTTGCACCTGATTCTCCCGCCCGGCCCGTGGATGACGCGGGACTATTTAATGTGCTTGAACAATTGACTTTGAGAATCTCATCAATAACGACGATGCACCATACCTTCAACCCTTGAGCACCTCTTAGGGATTCCAGACCCCTTCCAATGAGTATACATAACTCAAGCCGTGCACTGGTTACAATGTTTGTTCAAGTCTATTTCCAGAAATGTTAGTTGAATTATTACACGTGTTTCGAATTCGAATATGATGTCAAATGAACCCCGAGATCACTCCTAAGCGCGCCCCGTCACAACTTTGCCTGCAATGACTTCTTTGTCGGCTATCACAGAGTTGTTGTACGCAGTCACATCCCGGAAGTAGAGCTCCGTCCCCGGCGTCTCGTAAGTCCCATCACTATCCAGTCCCCTGAGATGGAAAATCTGGTGTGTACGCCCGGCTCCCGAGGTAACGGTATTGTCTGCGTATCTGGAATAGTTCGCGGTTCCATTCCTGTCCGTATCAATGACGCTGCCGACCCACTTCGATCCCTCACCCTCAAAGGCTTCAAGGCCGGTCGGGTAGACGGTGTTTCCCTGGACGTGAAGCTTGAGGCCTTGATCCAGCTGTGCCCATAGAGTCAAATTTCCTGCCGGGAGATACGAGGTGGTTGTGTTGCAGTAGAGCGGGTACGAAAAGGTTGTCTTGTAGTCCCATCCAGGAACTTTTGACGTCTCCTCGCCAATGGTCGAGAACGTATTGATGCCTCCGTAACCGTTGGCGTACAGGCCTCCAACGTTGGAGTATGAGAGGCTCTGCTTCCAAGTTGCTGTGCCGTTGCCCTTCTGCGTAGTGAGGAACGAGGTGATCGTGAAATCGCGTTGCACCGATAAGGAATAATCCAGGGTCGAGTTGAAGCCGGTAGCGTTTTGCTTGAGCGTCTGTGAGAATGCAATGGAGGGCTCAGGGTTTGTCTTCTTAGAAATGACACCCGTCGTGATGCTTCCTTCGTCGTCAAGCCATAGGAAGACTTTGCCTACAAGGTACCAACTACTACCCGTGGTATTTGTGAGGCTGGCGCTTGACTTGCCGTCATCCACTAGCCCGACAACTTTGATGCCAATGGTGTGGTTATTTCCGTCACAAAGAAGGGGCAGCCACGGGGTGATGTCAATCTCGTGATCTCGCAAGTCGAACGCGTTGATACCCACAATCGGGCGATGGAGTTGGGGCACCACGCCGCCTGTGAAGATGTCTGGGAAGGGCCAGTGCACACCCGCCAATTGACCGTCGATAAGGACCTGGACCTCTCTGAAAGGCGAATATCCCGGATAGCTACCCACATCCGGCACGAAAGCATCTACGGCTGACTGCGGGACGTTACTCCACCAAAACTCCTCGTTCCCTTGTCCCTTGACAGACGTGGAGAAGACGGCCCGGTTGACGTTGCGAGGAAATTGGACAGAAGCAGTGGCGTTCTCTTCAGGGTACGTCCAAAAGCTGGCAGTGACTGGGCTCTTGTTGGCAGAAACTGGCAGGATGAGGTCTGCTGGCGCTTGTCCTCCGGTCCGAACGGGACTCTTGAAGAAGGTGGCCGTGAGAGTGGAGTTGAGCAGGCCTGTGTAGACGTCTGTAATGACATTGTCAAGTTGGAATATGAGAGTCTGTGGCTCTTTCCAAAGTGACAGATACGGCGTGGAATCCTTCAACCAGGTCCAGGTGATGCCGTATGACGTGGGCTCGGCGGTGGAGGTCGCGAAGATGTTGACATCGCCCAAGTACACGGAGCCCCAGCGATCGAATTGCCGGCCCCTAACCTCGACGGTGAAGTTGAGCACGACGTGATCAAAATCGAAGTCTGGGGGCGAATAGTCTCCGACGAAAGGGGTTCCATAGCTGTTGGCAAATTGGTGCTCCATCAACGTGACCGTAACTGCCTGCCCTGTAGGCTCCAGGACAGGCTCGGCCACTTGAAAGGTGTCAAGCAGTGGTGTTCTCGTAGAGGCTGGCGGCGCGGTCGCACTAGGCGTGACATCTGCGTCGTATGCGATGCGATCCATGTGAGCCAAGACATGCCCGATTCTGGGGCTCCGCACATCCAGCTCTTGGTATTGCGCCGCGCGCTGGACGTGGAACTGCTCTCCGCAAGCCCAGGATGCAAGGGACCCGAGGAGGAGGAGTCCCTTGAGCAAGCCCCAACCGCCACCGGTCTGGTTGTTGATTGTGCCCATTGCTTCGTCAGGAAATTTTCTTGACTACTTGATGGCCAAGCACACACCTTCAATGCCTTACCACAGAGACAGAGTGAGCAAAGAGTTGGTGACGGCGACATTCGAGGGGTGGGACGGGCGTGGTTTAAGAGAGTGTAATGGAAGAGCGGGAGTCCGGCAACCGGCGGGATGCACGTCCGGTGGGGCAAAATCCCCAAAACCGGCAGGTGACAGTGGTGTGATAGGATCGCCATAGCGCCATGACATGGGTTGCCCAGGCAAGATAAGATGAACCCCTGGGCTTCGACGATTGTCAAGGTTCAACAGCGTCAAAGTTATTTTACAACAGATATTAATACTCCTTTAACCCAAATAACGCAGTCGGGCAGTGTTTCCATATGAGAAGCAGGAAGGAAGAAGACAGTCCTGACCAAATTGGAGTGAGATACATCTTTGAGGCTTCTCACATTCAAGAAGCATAGTCGCGTCACGGTACATAACGAGTACACGATTGACTTTACAGGTATTTCGCTTATCACTGCATTGAGCAGTCTCATTCTAAATGAGCATATTGATAATGATGCAATGTTAGTCGGCTTATTCAATGCATATTGAAGAAGTGTTGCGACACAGCTGACCCTTGCCGATCGAAACCGTCAACGTATAGCCGATACAAGTTGGATGCACAGAACATATACAAGAGCTACTTGCACTAACAGCATGTAATGGCCAAGCCGACTGGAGCCCGAGATGGCATACTATCCATTCTTGAAGGCCTCTATCGTCCAGTCAATGCTTGTAATCCTCAGTCTACTTTCATGGTCAGCTAGGACCAACGTCCATCGCCAGTCTAGCTAGGATTATGTCGATGAAGCAAAAAATCGACATAAAATCATCTCCTAGACTGGCACAGTGACTGACTCGTGACGATACAAGGCAAAAAGCTGCGCCGAGGGGGAATCGAACCCCCGGCTCCCCGACGCTGCTTGATGGCAACGGAGAATTTTACCACTAAACCATCGACGCGATTGATAGTAGGTGTTGGTTGTGAGAGCTGTTGTCCTGGAACCCTATTAGATCTGTAAAGTTGTGGATCGTTAGGGTTGCGGCAGTAACAAGGTCCATCGTGAGCAAGGGTTGCGATACCCTCAATCGCGCTAGGTGGTGGAAATATGGAGTGCATCTGAGGCGGGGTAGGGAATGAGCATGAATAAGGCCCGAAAACCCATGAGGAAACCACATGTGATGCGAATGCGAGTGAGGTTTCTAAAGCAGACAGCCTGCCTCTGTCTAGATCACGGCCGTCTCTCGCTTTACTCAGTATTATTGTTTGTGTCTTGTTTCCGATGTCTCAGTAAGTCCTGGCTCATATTTTATCTATTCCTTGTGTAATGTTTGTTCATCGCTCTCGTTGTTGAGCGATTTGTGGTGTAAATTGTCGATTACCATTCGTAAGAAGAAAGATAACAATAGACTTTAGCACATGCAACTTGTTCTCTTTTGCCGTTGAAAATACGAAATTTAAGCCATCTGCTGACTGCTTTGCTCGTTTTGTCTCATTAATCGTCGTCTTATTCCTTTTCTCAAGCCATCTAGACCCATTGCATAGATCATCATCTGTTCCATTTGAACCAAAGGCAATCACGTTTGGGGCAAGTACAACAGGATTTGGTCAGCAAAGTCCGAGATGAGTAAGGCGCCGACGGAATGGCGTTGGGATCTTGCCTGCATGATTAGCGCCCCGTATCACCGCCCTTCTTTGACAACCTCCCCACCTCACTGTGATCAATGCATTCCCATTCCTTCAAACCCCCACTCTCGACCAACATCGGCCAAATTCACTGCGTCACGTTGAGGCATTACTATCAAGACTAGAGAACCTTCATATCTGCGCTCGCTGTGACTATTTCAAGTCATTCAACGGGAAGAAGCGATGGAAAAGTCATTGTTAATGGCCGACAATGTTCTGACAAATGCGCGGTCCAATGAGATGGACGATGATTTCGACCTCAGTCTATTCCTTTCTGACGAAGCGTTTTCCGATATGTTTCCCAAAGACTCGAGAAACCCCGACGATGCAGTGAATGGAACACAATCTGAGGACGGACGGATATCTGCATCTTCAAGCGTGTCTGGTGGTGTCCCACTCTTCGACGAACGTGAGCCACCGCAAGACACGCCGAATGCCACGGAGGGCGGAACGAAAGTGGGCAGTCGCTTCACATCAGCAAACATCAGAGTCCTGAAAACATGGTTCGAAAACCACGAGCGGCATCCGTATCCGACCCCGGATCAGGCCGAGCGATTACTGAAGCAAACAGGGTTGAGCAAGCAGCAACTAATAAACTGGTTCGCCAATACTCGTCGGCGCAGGAAGATTCGCCCAGGCGGGGCCTCCACACCGGCCCGGACCGAGGCTGGTTCTAGTCCCATAGACGTGCCCGTTCGACGACCGACGCCCATGGCATTCGAGCAAATGAACCCGATGCAACGATGGGAGCACTCTCCACCAGATAGCGAGCCTGCTTCAGCTGCCGATATTTCTCGCGCAGTCGCTGCGTCATCAAAGCGTCCGGGACTCTTGGGCCGCTCTCGGTCTTCGGCAGGATCTTGGGAGAACGCCTCGAGCATTAGTAGCGTTGGCACATCTCAGTCAAGTGGAGGGTCGCATTCCAATGCTTCGGCACACTCCCATGGCTCTAGAAAATCTCCGACCCCTATGGAGGCACTCCGCAAGGACTCGAATCGTCGGAGAAGACGAGCAATGCTAAAAGAACGAAGGGGGAACAGGTTGAGCCTTCGACAGATCAATACCTACCAATGCACCTTCTGCGCCGAAACCTTCAAGACAAAGTACGACTGGCAAAGACACGAAAAGTCCCTTCACCTCTCACTTGAGGAATGGGTGTGTTCTCCGCACGGGTCGACCACACAACACCCTGAGAAAGGGGTGATTTGCGTCTTCTGCGACGAGGCCAACCCGACCCAACAGCACCTCGACGACCACCACCAAGCAGCCTGCTCGGAACGACCGGTCAAAGAGCGTACGTACTACCGAAAAGACCATCTCCGGCAGCATTTGAAACTTGTACACAAGACAAGTAAGATGTCTAAAACCGCAGAGACTTGGAAGGTTACCACGGACAAGATTCGGTCAAGATGTGGCTTCTGTGGAACCACCTTTGATTCATGGGCGACGCGTGGGGACCACATTGCGGATCACTATCGAGACGACGGGAACACTATGTCAAATTGGAAAGGGGATTGGGGTTTTGAGCCCCAAATACTCGCAAAAGTCGATAATGCGGTGCCTCCTTGTAAGTGAAACCTGGTTCCAGTCCTTAAAACTCCAAAACTCACCATTCCCCAAGGCGTAATTCAGTTTGAGCAAAGTGCGCCGGTGCCCTACTGCGCAAGTGTTTCGCCGGCTGGTTCCGCACCGAGCGCATACGAACTCCTCAAGCTTGAAGTAGAATACTTTGTTCGTAACTACTTTGAGGAACACGAACGACTGCCCTCGGACGATGAGGTCATCTACGAGGCTTGTACCATCTTGTACGCCTCCGAGTTTTTCAGGCCCAGCGGCACGCCGAATGCGTCATCCTGGCTTCGAGACTTGTTGATGAATGATACGGAATTATCTGAAAAGGCGCGCCTACGTCCCATGAACCAATGCTATCAACTAGCCAAACTTCGCGCGAGTACCCAACGCCCCCAGGCGTGCCCATCATAATCACAGTCCCCTTCCTCAACGTCGTCCCTCGCGAAAGATGCACGATAACCTGCGCCACCGACCAAATCATATCAGAAGTCTCTGTCTCCTGGACGACCTTCCCGTTGACCCTGGTGCGGAACCGCAACGCATGCGGATCCGGAATGACACTCGGCGACCAGATGGCCGGCCCGATAGGAGCGAACCCATCGAAGGACTTGCAGTAGGAGTATTGGCCGCCCGAGGCGCCGGGGATCTGGAAGTTGCGGGCGGTCACGTCATTTCCTGCGGCGTACCCGAGGACATAGTCCAGGGCGTTGTCGAGGGTCGCGTTCTTGACGTCCCGACCAATGATGACGCAGAGTTCACCCTCGTAGTCTAGCTTGTCCTGCGCGTCATGGTGGACGATGATGGGATTGTGGGGGCCTGCGAGGGCGTCGGGCGGCTTTGTGAAGATGATGGGAAAGGCGCATACGGGAAGCTGTGGGCCATTGGTTTAGAGAACCTCGCAAAAGACTTCAAATGTGCATCTTCACTCACATTTGATTCTATCGCGTATCGAGCATAGTTTAACCCCAGGCACATGATGATGGGCGTTCTTTCCAACGGGCAAAGCAGCTACATCGCGGAATTGGTCGAATCAGCATTGGTCTTTGCGATCTTGGAAGGAAAACCACAGACTAGCTGGCCGCGAATTCTCCAACACTCACTTTTACCGCCGTATCTCTGATGTTTGTTCTCTCTAGTCCGACATCTAGATTCCCATTCAGTCGCTCAATAGTGTAGCCAAACTCACTAGTTCGTACGAGATTGCCGTAAAATACACTCCCTTGGTGTTCATATCTCACGAGGGCCTGGAATTCCATCGTTGCACACTTGACACCATTCCCGATAAGCTCGAGGAACATCGAAAAAGGACTGCCTTTCTCCACAAAGCAATCGCAACTCCACGACGCCGCGGCACCATGCTTTTATATTCGATTCCAGCAAACTACTTTACTTCAGTTCGGAACCTTGCGAGTCGCTCGTCTTTGATGCATCTTGGGCGGTCGGTAACTGATTATTTTCTCTTCCGCCCCCCCGCCCCCCTGGCGACCGAAGATGCCGTCGGCAGACTCGGGTGGTCTATCACGGGCCTCATGACTTTCATGGCAATCTGTACATCGTTCGCGGCGCGGCGTGAAATCCCTGTACCCGTGCACGGCAGCGTGCGGCTGGCCGCTGAGCAGCACATGGAATATTGAGATGAAAAAACTAAAGACCGGTTCGGCGATTTCGGGGAATTTTGTGCTTTTGGGTGTCATTAGGAAAAGGCAGCAAAGTCATCACCTTTGGGGCAGGACGTGGCGGATATCGCGGGGTTGGAGATCTTGGAGTCTATTCATGTTCGGATGAGTTTTTGCCACGTCCCCATGGAGATGTCGGACACGGAGATATGCCAGTCCAGAGGTCACCGAGAAAGTAGAGTGGGAAATCCGGGGTGGTTTACCTAGGTTGAATGAGTAATCGAGGACACCGATGCTTGTACCGACGAAGGGATGATGGCAGAAGGTGTTGATTCCCTTACTGGAGGGGATTTACCGTACTTTCTTATTTCGTCGTAATGGGCATCTTCGGGAAACCCCGCCCCGAAAGGAGTATTCCGATTACCAGATCAAGCTCAGACGTTCCGATTGATGTTCTGAACCGCAGGAGGACAAAAGCGTGTGGGCATTTGGTTGCCTTCTTAGCTTACTTTTTCAAGGAGCAGCGAAACAGTTATCCAAGGTCGGGCGGCAGAGTGAACAGACTCGGGCCGCAAGTAAGAACCCGCGAGGCCGTCGAGCGTAGCCCCTATCCAATCAGATTTCTCCGAAAGCGATGTCTACCGGTGATACTTCGCCAGCCTTCGAAAAATTGGTGGTTTTCAAGAGATTCTTACTCCGTAGAAACTGGTTCTCGCTGCATGACTTGCCCCTCAGAGTTCGGCGCGAATGACACTCAGTGGTTCGGTAGTGGGGCGCGGCAGAGATCCGGCGCGGGGTTTCCTGCATGATGCAGGTTCAGGCCGAAGACCCTTTAAGTAGCGGGGGTGGGCTACGGACGTGATGGGACAGGACAGATTGTGAATCTGGATGATAACAAAATGATCCAAGGTGATCGCCGCCGGTCCAACTGACTGCAATCTTACTCGTCCAGGGCCAAATGCCAACATGAGAGTCCTCATCATCGGCGCAGGTCTCGGCGGCCTCGCTTGCGCCATAGCCTGTAGAAGAGAGGGGTTTGAGGTGGTTGTTCTCGAGAGGGCGAATAGACTGGTCCCGGTAAGCTCACCGAAGTGCCATTCACGATTCCCTTTCCCGCTCTCAGTGATACACTCGTTTATCTGAATTAACATTTATCTAGATCGGCGCAGGTCTTCAGCTCCCACCCAACGGGACTAGAATCGCAAGACAACTAGGCTACCTCGACAAACTCCTCCAATGCGGGGTCGTCATCGATGGGATGGAGTACCGCAGGTACGCAGACGGCGCGCACCTGCACACGCTCTCGGCCAAGGACGCGCAGGCCCGGTACGGCGATCTGTGGATGGTTGTGCACCGGGCTGATTTGCATTACATTCTGTGGCAGACGTGCAAGGAGATTGGCGTGGATCTGTGTCTCGATATGGATGTGGAGAGGATTGATTTTGACGAAAAGAGGGTGTATCTCGAGGACGGGGATGATATTGGCGGGGATGTGATTATTGGTGCTGATGGTGAGTAAGATGTGCTGGCTGTGAGCTTGTTGCTGTTTCGCTGACGGTTCGTGATAGGACTTTGGTCTATTTGTCGTGACCAGCTTCTTGGAGCGGCTTCGCCGCCTGTTGAGACAGGGGATCTGGCGTATCGCGCTACGTTTCCGTCTGACTACCTCAAAGCTCTGAATGATCCCCGGGTCGACGATCTTTGTGCGCGGAAGCAGGCTACGGTGTGGATGGGACCCGACAAACACACCGTGTTCTACCCCGTCAGAGGAGGGCGGGAGTTTAACCTCGTGCTCATCAGGCCGGATTACATGGAGCCGGGAGAGAAGCGCGTGCAGGGTGATATCGAAGAGATGAGGGAAAGTTATCGCGGATGGGATGATACGTAAGTTTCTAGCTGCTTGAGAAGCTACCAGGTGAGATTCCACGCATCCTGTGTGGCTACTAATCCTTGGCTTAGATTGACAAAGCTCATCTCGCTGATACCGAGAGTGCAAAAGTGGAAGCTATGCACGCATCCTGAGTTGAAGACGTGGACCAAGGGCTGCTTCGCTCTGCTGGGTGATTCATGCCATCCAAGTCTGCCCTACCAAGCCCAAGGCGCAGCTATGGCTGTTGAAGACGGCGCCGTGATTGGGAAGCTTTTTGGTCTTTTGAAGAACTCCTCGGGGGCTGAAAACATGGTACCACAGATCCCCGGGATCTTAAAGCTATATGAGACGCTTCGGAAAGACCGGACGACGGTGAACGTGCAGGGCGCGACTTCGAATCGGAAATGGTATCATGTTCGTGACGGGCCGGAGCAGGAGGCTCGCGATGCGGAGATGACGGGTGCACCGCTGTCGGACGGGTTGTCGCCGACGGGGTGGCGGTTAATGGATGAGGATTATCGGATGGAGTTGATGGGGCGGGACTCGGTAGCAGAAGCCATTGAGGCCTTCCAAGAGTGGGAACAAAAACAAGCCTGACAATGCTTCTGTATGATGATTGACTATTAATTGATTCTATTCACAAAGCTGTTGAAGTATGCCTCTCGATAACGCCGAATCTAAGTTAAGTAAAAAATCCCTTCCAAACTGTATATAGCAATAACGCGTTGTAAATCACTTTTCCTTCCCGGCAATATGCTTTAATGATAGTTGTATCGTAACTCATGACGTCTTCAGGCATCTCTCGTGTATTCGGACTTTTGGCGCCAAACGTGACCGTATCTCATGATAACCACCGGGATGGGCGCCAGGCAGATGCTGAAAGCTCCCAGCATAGTGAAACCCCAACCATAACCGAAAGACTGCACCATAGGTCCGCTCGCAAGGGGTAGGAAAGTTCCAGCTAGGCATCTCGTCACGATGACACCAGTCATGGCGGAAGCAGAGTACAGGCCTGTGGCGTCGACAACGTAGGCGGAGAGAGGAAGGGAGGCCATGAGAAGAGTGAAGCCGAGCATCGCGACCGACAGGAGAAGAAGGCCGACAGGAAGGTGAAGTTCCGCAATCCAGCCGTAGGCGGTGATGGAGAGGGGCAGTGTGAATGCGCCGATGATGACGAGCGGGAGCCGGTACTCGGGACGTCCGACGGGGTCGTTGCCGCGAAGCTTCACGTAGATCCTATCCAGGCTGAAGTTGCTGACGATGACGCTGATGAATGAACCGATACCTGTGACCGTTAGAACACAAACGCATCATGCAAAAGTTCAGAGTAGGACTTACTGAAGGACATGAATGAGAGACCAGTGAGGGCAGGCGAGAAACCATACACATCCTGGAGAATGACAGGCAAGCTGATGGACATGACGTAAAAGTAGGCGAAAGTTATGCACCCAAAGAACGACAACCCCATCAGAACATTTGACCTGAGCAAAACATAGAACGGCCGCTTGATCGACTCC